GGGAGCCCTGGGGTGCCGGGGGCCACACCAGGCTCAATTCCCTCCATCTCCCTCCACAGGGGAGGAGAAGGTGGATGCGGAGGAGACCCGGCTCTCCCTGGAGCTGCGGGACTCCTTCGCCTTCCTGGACAGCCAGGAGACGTGGCTGGAGGGCAGTGGGGACTGGGAGCTGGCGGCACGGTCCCTGCTGCCGGACACCTGCCCTGGGGACAGCGAGGGGTTCCCGGCCATGGAGGAGGGGATGGACAGCGGGTTCATGAATGTAAGCCGACATCGCCGTCCCAGTGCTTTGGGTCTGGGGTGGCAGGGCTAGAGGCAAGCAGAGGGTCACCACCACTGTCCCTGCTCAGGGTGGGCATGGAGAGAGCAGGGTGGGGACGGAGGGGACAGGGATGGGCTTGGAGGAGACAGGGTGGGGATGGAGGGGACAGGGTGGGCTTGGAGGGGACAGGGTGGGGGTGGAGGGGACAGGGTGGGCTTGGAGGGGACAGGGTGGCATTGACCCCTCCGGCCCCGGTGCTGGGCCTCGGGGCAGTGCAGGGCTGGGGGTCTCTGGCGTGGCCGTCACCCTCCCCGTCCCTGTCGCCAGCCGGGGGAGCCCCCCATGGAGCAGCCCGCCAGCTACCTCTCCATCGAGGAGTGCATGGACGAGGAGATGTTCTTCATGGCTCCCAGCGGCTCGGACATCGAGGACCGTGCCGGGGACACCGACTCGGATGACATGTTCCTCAGTGCCCACGACGACCTCAGCCCGCTGGTGGCATCGCTGGAGCCCCTCGACCAGCCGCTGGGTGAGGGTACAGCCCCGGAGACCCCGGCACCGGCCCAACCTGACACCAATGGCACTGATGGCACCGCCGTGCCGCAGGACAGGTCTCCGACACCGGGGCCGGCAGGGCCGTGCCCCACGGAGGAGGACGCTCCGGGTGAGGGGGAGCACCCGGGGGACCCTGCTGGGGTGCTGGCAGAGGCGGGGGCAGCAGACACCAGCCAGCTCCCAGGGGAGGGCAGTGGAGGGGAAGGGGCCACAGACGGCGGACCTGGCCCCAGCAGAACTGACTCCAGTGCTGAAGCCAGCCTGGGGGACGAGGGCGGAGGAGCCGGGGGCCCCACGGGAGCAGGGCCGGTTCTCCACCCCGATGCGTCAGATGGGAAAGTCGAAGAGAATGGAGCTGG